TGTGCACAAATGTTCATAATAGCATTATTCATAAAACCCAAAACGTGGAAATAAACCAAATGTCCATCAACTGCTAAGTATTCAACAAAATGTGACACAACAATGCAATGGAATACCATTCTACAATACAAAGGAAATGAAGTATTGTTCTGATACATGCTACAACATGGATGAACCTCCAAAACATTATGCTAAGTGAAGGACTAGTAACAAAAAGACTACGTATTGTATAATTCCATTTATATGAAATGTAAAGAATAAGTAAATCTATTAGTCAAAGTTCTTGTAGGGTAAAAAAAAAGTATAAAAAAAAATAAGTAAATCTATAGAGAGAGAAAGCAGAGTAGTCATTGCCTAGTGCAGGGAGAAAGAAATGAAGAATGACTTCTAAGAGGTAAAGGGTTTCTTTCTGGAGTAATAAAAATGTTATAAAATTAGAATATGGTGATAGCAAAACTACAAATATACTGAATATGCTAAAACCCACTAAATTGTATATTATAAATGGGTGAATTTTATTATGTGTAAATTATACCTCTATAAAGCTACTGCACAAACTTCAACTGACTTCAAGCATTTACTATGAACTGTATATACAATAACCTATGTGCTATATGGTTCACAAATGACAGGATCTTATCTTAATCAACTATAAAAATAGTTAGAAAATTATTCATGAAAAACCTGAGCATCAAGGATATCAAAAAGTTAAACATAAGAATTATTATATCTGAAAAAAGATACATATTAAATCATCAAATAAGTCCACTAGGGAGAAATTACTGTGCTTTTAGTTTAGTAAACCTTTCTTAAGAAAGTGAGAAAGATGAAGTTACATGATCAGATATGGGTAACAGATGAACTCCAAACATCAATAAACCCTATGAGACTAGGCAAACTATTTACTACTTACTCTAAGAGTTAAAACAACTTTTCACAAAAACATAACATTCTACGTGATTTCAAGAAAATCTTATTTTTATCAAAACAAGATTTATAATTTACCTTTATGTTAAGTTTTCTATTGTTTGTTGGAAGTGTTCCATCCTCTTTGAGTTGCTCAGGCAGATGTATAGTCTTCGTTTTAAAGTTTGTAGTAGTAGCATTTTCTAACTTAGGCTTCTTTTTACCAACTTTTAGTTTTACCTTTTGAAAATCATCTTGGCGTTTTCTTTTTTTGGTCATTCTTGAGTACTATAATGAAAATAATTAATTTAAAAACAATGGATAAAGATAAGGAAAAATGATAAAACAATGCTGGTATTCTCCAACACTTACATTACTCTAACATTTATTTCAAACATAATCAAGAATCAACACCAACAGTGTGATTACGCCAAAAGATCAAAATATTAAGTAGAAAATATAATACCATTCAAAAGTACAAAAAAATCAGTTTGGTCTAGAAATACTACAAATGGAGTCATTAACAATAAGGCAACAGTCTTGCCACTGGTTTTGCAACAAGGTTTTTTGAGCAACTTTTGTCAAGCACTGTGCTAAATGGAAACTTTTTGAAATGTTTTTTTTTTCTTTGTGAGTAGAACAACACAGACTTATTAGAGCAATACCTTGTATCTAATGGGAAGCTTCTGGTTCCTAGAAGCCCCTGAGGAACCTCTAGTAAAACAAAGCATAGTTTGAAAACCCATGTTATTATTTAATGCAGCCTTAACAGAAAAAGTTTCATGAATCTAAGATGAATATTTGAAAATAGGTAAGAGTCAGATATGCACCAAGGAGGGTAATGAGCATTTCATGAGCAAGAAAAACATGGTAAAGATCAGGATTAGATACACCGGGTATAGACAAGAGTGTAAATACCACCCTTCTGAACACCAGGAAAAGTTCAGATTAGATATAAACAGCAAACACTATATACCCACCCCCAAAAGAAGGATAAAAGGAAGTATAATATAACAGAGAGATAAAGAATAAAGACCAGCTAAGCTGCTACCGTAATAAATAACTCTGGCATAACCATATCATCTTGCACCTCCTCCCCTTCTACACATTCAACTTACATCCAAACCTTCTACTTGGACACAAAATCTTTTAACTCTGCCTCTTCCAGGCCATTACTTTAAAGAAGTCCTTTATTTCTACCCTAAGATTCAATACCTTCTCCACTGGAATTCTTGCCTTGTCTCCACTGTCTACTCTCTAATCCACTGGCCTATCACCAGAGAGCTCTCTCTAAACATTGATCTGACCAATGACTGACAATTGATCTGACCAAGACTCAAATGTTTTCAGTTGTTCTTACACCTCATACACCGTAGAAATTCCTTTGCATGACACGCTAGGTCCTTCATAATGTGACCCCATCTATCCTCCCCAGCTTTATCTTCCCAAAAGCTAAACTCTATCTTAGAAAATAGCCTACTTTATGTTGAACCAGCACAACTCTTCTTAAAGCCCTTTCCGCATGCCACACAAATAATTCTGCCTTCCAGTCGCACCCACATGAGTAGGTTAAGTACCTCTGCAATAAATAAAACTTCTCCTGGTCTCCTGGTCTATCATAATTATCCTGGGCCTAACTATAAAAAGTCAAAAAGCTATAAATGCGAGTACTAAAACATTTGAGTAGAATGACAGTTTGTATTATTGCAGGATTAACAAAATGGCTGGCACAAGACTAAGCAGCTCAAGTTCCAGCCTTTAGTTCAAGGGATCCAGAACCAATCAGCTATGACATTACATCCAAATTCACTTGATTGCATGGTTTTACTTCATTAGATCCCCCTGAGGTAGAATATGGCTACAAATGTTAAGAGATAGTTCTAGAATAAGACTGGTAAGGTTCTTATGCAGACTCTTCCACTTTCTAGCTATACACTGTGCAGTACCTCAGTTTCAATAATACCTACCTCATACATGTGTTATGAGGTAAGAGTAAATTAGTTCATCATTGTAAAACACTCAGAACTGTACCTGGTACATTGTTAAATATATATATGCTTCAACAAGCCATGATTTTTGGAAAAGCAAGAGAAAAAAATTATAGAAAAATAAGTAAAATATATATATATTTATATATATATATATATATATGCATGCTATCAGCACAAATACTTGTGTGTTCCTAAAGTCTCAGGAGCAGTATATGCCAAGCACAATATTAGATGCATTGCGTACATTAGCATTCAATTCTCCAAAAAGCCATTTGAAGGTGGTACTAAACTCATTTTAACAATGAGGCTCAGAAAAGTTTGTAAGTTACTCCTTCGTTAAGAAGTTGAACAGGGTTTCATTCACAACCCTGAGCTCTGCAAAACCAGCTTTGTTATACATACTGGCATTAACATGAGAATTGGAAGACTGCATAGCAAAAGGGCTTGCCTTATTTCATTTGTCCAATTCCAAATTTCACCCCACCCACATCTCTAGTTACTCCAGTCTTTAAAAAAAAAAAAAGAAGAAGAAGTAATGAAATAAGGCCTAAAAAGAAGGCACCAATACTTACTTGGCCTCTTTCAAAACAAAAATTAACTTTCACTCGTTAAGCTGCATACTTTGTAAGCTTTTTCTACAATTTTATTACTACCTGGTACCAGAGATTAAAGTAAATCTCCCTCTTCCCCCTCAATCCTCTGGGCTCTATTTTGCCATTAACTACCTGATGGAGCTTCAACATTCTGTCTACTGTCAACTTTATGTCACATTATCTATCATTTTGTATTGGTCACACTAACGTTTTCTGTCCGTTAAGAAAATTAGAGGGCTGATTGCCCTTCCTTGACTTTTAAAACTGGTAAAATTATTATTAAAGGACACAGAGTATTTTTATATTAGAAACTCTTTAAATTCTATCAGCCATTTATTTTTACTTAAAGATTTTCATAGCACAGCAAATCAAATAGTTCCATCTAGCCACCTTCACAGTAGCCGGTTTTGAATATAAGAACTCCAGCTTCAGGGAACTCACATCCCTGACCCTCTTACGTTATGTAAGCTCCAACAATTTCAAAACTTAATTTCACATATTCCCAATGCAAGTCTTTTCTAATTTCATCAAAAAGCATACCCTACCGCATTAGGATTTCAATCCATCTGAATGGCAACTAGTTTGCATGCCACCTTATTAACCCTTCCTCATTTCCACCTTCTTTTCCCAAAAACATCAAAGACAGAGCAAGCATACTGCGCTCGGCCTTTGATAATTTCCTCTCCAACCCTTTACACTCCTGAGTTCCTCCAAACACAGGAACCATACTTCTCAAAAATCAAGTGCCCCAGGCAAGGGCAACTCCCGAAAACGGGTGGTCCCGTTCAGCTCGCAGAACTCTCGAAGCCTGGGTGGTGAGAAGGCGGATTAGGGAACGCCTGCGCATCACTACCCCGTTTTCAGTCCTGCATCCCAGAAGTGAGGACACCGTGGGTTTTAGGAAACTATTGCTCCTTACACTCCTGTGGATACCGGTCACGACCACAGTCAGGGGAAACGGGGCCCGATCCACACACCGGCCTAAAACTCGCTCGGACCCGAAACCGCGCGAACTCGCCCGGTCACTTGAAACGCTTCAAACGCCTAAGGGGGCCCCGCCCCCGCAACTCCCGGCTCCCCACCAAGGCCCAACACCTAAAGAGCGCCGCGGCGGGACCCACGGGTCGCATACTGGCCACCGGCGACACTGCCCGCCTGGGCCGCGAGCGGGGGGCGATGGCTCCACGCGCCGTGCCACACACCGGGAGGCCCCGGCCGGATGCGCGGCTGCCGCTCACCTGAGGATCCGGCCGGGGCCGGGGGGTGGAGGCACAGAAGAGAAGCGAGCGAGCAGAAGCTCACGGGGCGACAGCGTGCGCCACCGGCCTCAGCCTCTAGCTCCCGGAGCGTGTTTTCAAATCGCCTCGTCCTCACGCGGCCGCGTTTCCTTCCGCCGCCCGGAAATCAAGACCCCACCCCCGCCGTGCCGCGATCACGTGACCGCAGCCCGCAGCCGCGCGCAGCCGGGGAGGCGGACTCGGCGGCGGTAGGCCCCGCCCCGTGAGGAGGGGCCGCGCCGGAAGCCCCCTGCGCGCAGGATCCGAGGACAAAGCGTGGCCCTTGGGTTCCACCCAGAGTTTCCCAGGGTTCCCATCTGGGGGGCCGGCCTGGTTACGGCTGGAGAGCAAGTTTCTCCTCCCCTTGGACCACGGTTCTTCAGACTTTCAGGCACGTTCGAAGAAGAGTATAAGGTGAACTGAGTTGGGAAAGGGAAAAGTTTGGGACTGTGGAGAATGGAATTCCTGGGGACATTAACCTGAGCTAAGATGGAGCAGATAAGAATTACTTTATTAGAGCAAAATGCACCTAGTAGTTGGCGCCTAGAAGTCTTAGTCTAGGATGTTCCCTAATTTTTCAGTTTTTCAACCCTAACATTGCTGCTACTAAAAATGGGGAAATGAAATTAATTTCTGAGATTAAGTTAAGAAAGAAATGAAAATGCCAAGAAAAGGGATGAGAAAGCAAGGAGAATGAGCCTTTGAAAGGTAGCCTTGACAAAGACTGACTGGAGGGCATGGAAGAAAGAGCTCCATGTATAAAGTTTAACCTTGATTCAAATTTGTCTGTACAGCTTACCAGATGTAAGACTTAGTAAAGCTGGCAAAGATTTGACCCTCATATGGGGTAGAGATTCAGAGCAATGATGTCTGAATCCAGGGAGATGAAAGTACTGGAACTAAAACTGTGGCTACTCCATAATCCGAGATAAAGAGGCAGCACCAGAAACTCACTCTCCTTTTGCTGGAGAGACAGCCACAGCACCACAGTCTGCCTGGCATCCACCATGACCATAAAGGTTTGGAAGTGATTGACATTATATGGTATTTAAAGCTATGAGACTACATCAAAAGAGGAAAGGTTTATTGCCAGCCAGACAGTCCCCCAAACCTAGCAGCTATTCAGTATTTCCTTTGGATGTCCAATGTACATCTTAAGGTCAACTTGTTGAAAAGCAAATTCCTGATTTTGCCTCTTGAATCTACTCCTCCTACAGCTTCTTCATTTCAGATAGCAACTCCATCCTTCCAATTACTCAAGCCAAAAATCTTTGGGTTTTTGGTTTGGCTTCTTTCTTTCACACCTCACATCTAATCCATCTGGATAGTCTTCTGCTTACCTGCATATCCTAACTTTAACCACTTAAGGTACCTCCCTTGTACCATCGTGGTCCACGCCATTTCCTGATGACTGCAAAAAGCCTCCAAACAGGTCTTTGGGCTTCCACCATTGTCCCTCTTCCCCCTACAGTCTAGTATCAACAGACCAGTTGTGTGATTATTTTAAAATCTATGGCAGATCAGATCATTCTTGTGTTCAAAACCTTTCAATGGCTTCCTATTTCCTTTGGAGTAAAAGCCAGAATCCTTAATGGCAGCCTTAAGGTCTGCCATGTTCTGATGCAGCCCCTTAACCTCTGAGCACTCCTCCTTCCACTCTTCTCCTTTTTCACTCTGCTCCATCCCCACTTGCTTGTTTGCCTTCCTCAAACACCAATGACACACTCTTGCTTTGACCTTTGCTTTAGCTTTTCTGTCTGGAACAATCTTCCCCAATAACTCCATGTGGCTAACTTCCCCCCTCCCTTGAGTCTATTCACATATCTTCTCAGGGATACCTACCTTGACCACCTCATGTAAAATCACAACCTACCCTCTCCCAGGGCTTGCAATTCCCCTTCCCTGTTCTACTTTTTTATTATTTTTTTTAAACTTTAGACCTTATCATATTCTAATATACTATGTGATTTACTTATTTATCCTATTTATTATTTGATTCTGTCCTCTGTCCACCACTTATATGTAAGTTCCACATGGGTCCTTCTCTGTTTTTTCCAAGAACGGTGCCTGGCAAATAATAGGCCCCCAATAAATATTTGTTGAATGAATGTCTAGGAAGCACCTGCTACATAGTGGTACTCAGCAAACAGTAGCTCTCATATTTCCCTGCTTTCCTATAGGATGGAGTTTATAGGCTCAGCCAAGTAAGTGGGCCTGGTGGCTATGCAGCTGACATAGCTGCTCATGGCCTAGCTAAAAGAAGTAGCAGATCTTCAGCAACAGCCAACTGTTGTCATGAGGGAATGCAAATGTTTTCATTTTTGAGCAAAATCAGAAATCCAGTGTCTTAGTCCATTTTCTGCTGCTATAACAAAATACCATAGACTGTGTAATTTACAATGAACCAAAAGTTTATTTGGTTCATGGTTCTGGACACTGGGAAGTTCAAGAGCATGGCATTGGCATCTGGCAAGGGTCATCCTATAATTGAAGTGATGAAGAGAGAAGTGAGCATGCAAAACAGAGAGGAAATCAGGCCAAATTCACTATATTTATCAGGAGCTGACTCCTGGGATATCTAGCCCACTCCTAAAAAAAAAAGCATTAATCCATTCATGAGGGCAGAGCCATCATAACTAATCACCTCTTAACGGTCCCACTCAATGCTCTTATGATGGCAATTGCATTTCAACATGAGTTTTGGAGGGGACATTCAAACCATAGCATCCAGAAGTGTTTATAAGAAATTTGATCTTGAATATTAGCAAGCAGGTACATTTTCCCCATTTTTAAAACACTATATGTGCCCAAGAAAGTACTTATGTACAGGTTGCTAGTTTACTGTCTCTGGTTTGACATGAAAAGTGTGTACGTAAAGACAGGCTTTTTCCAACTCTAAGTGATTAACTCAACAATTATAAGGATTATCCACTTAGCTGAGCCAGAAAAGACTTTTGCTAAGTAACAAGCATATACATAATCAAGGTCCTTGATCGTTGTCATGAAAACATTATTTACAATGAACGTATATTCTGGAATGTGTAAGACACTCCAGTTCTAAAACTCTGTCCAATTGATCCCATAAGCTGCCATTTATATTACTTTCCTGGAGTTACTATAACAAAGTACCACAAACTGGGTGGCTTAAATAGCAGAAATTCATTGGGTTTCAGTTCTGGAGACCACAGAATTTATAAATCAAGGTGTCAACAGGGTTTGTTCCTTCTGAGACATCTAAAGGAGAATCTGTTTCATATACTTTCCTAGCTTCCAGTAGCCTTAGACATTTCTTACAGAAAGTATTTTCTCTGTGACTTCACATCATCTTCCCTCTGTGTGTGTCTGTGTCCAAATTTTCTCATTTTATAAGAACACCAGTTATATTGTGTTAAGGATGTCCTAATGACTTTATTTTAACTTGATCACCTCTGTAAAGACTATCTTTCCAAATAAGGTCACTTTCTGAGATACTAGGGGTTAGAACTTAAACATATCTTTTTTGAGGGACACAATTCAACCCAGAACAGCCACCAAGATCTAAGTCAAGAAATATGTATCATCTGAACAACCTCTCCTTTTTGTCTATGCTCACAGCCATCACAATATTCTAGGTTAAGTAACTTACTCCTACGTAATTTCCCTAACCTTGGCAGCTACTTTTTAAAATATTTTTATACTGGGCTTCTAGTTAACATTTACTTTGGGAATAAGATACCACTGCTTTAAAAAAAAAAACAAAAACTGAAACCCTGTCAACCTAATCAAATTGATTTTATAGCAAGGTGGAGCGGTTCACACCTATAATCCCAGCAACTCAAGAAGCTAAGGCAGAAGGATCACTTCAGGCCAAGAGTTCCAGACCAGTCTGGGCAACATAACCAAACCCCCATCTCCAAAAAATTTTTTAAATTATCTGGGCATGATGGTGTGTTACTGTAGTCCCAGATATTCGGGTGGCTGAGGTAGGAGGATCACTTGATCCCCAGGGTTCAAGGCTGCAATGAGCCATGATCACACCACTGCACACTATCTGAAGTCTCAGAGTAAGACCCCGTCTCCAAAAAAAAAAAAAACATAAGTCAAACACAAATGACAAACTTGGAAAAATATTTGCAACTCATATCACAGCTAAAGGATTAATTTTCATAGTATACAAAGAACTCTTAGAAAAAAAAAAATCAAGAAAATTTGTTTCCAGAAATTTCACCCCCCAAAAATATATAAATGACCCTTCCACATACTAAAAGATGTTTAACCTGACTCATAACAAGAGAAATGAAAATTAAAATTAAGACATTTTTCTCACTTTTAGGATTATCAAAATTCTAAAGTTGAACAGCATACCCATTGGTGAAGCTGTGGAGAAACAGCACTTACATATTATTGTTGAAAGTACAAATTGGCATAGACTCTACAGAAGATGTATTTGTGAGCATTAAGTTTGGTTAGGAATAACAATAAAGCACAAAATAATTTCTCATATTAAAGTTGAGATATAGGCAGTCTAGGAATCAAGTGGCTCTGTTCCAGGAAGTCCTCAGATACTCAGGCTGCCTCTATTTTGTTCCAGTCTCAAGGTCACTTTATGCTTCAAGGTGGCCATTCTAGCTGCAGCCCTCATGCCCACATTTCAATCAGCAAGTAAAAGGAGGGGGGAGAGAAGGACATAACCCTTTCATTTAAGGAGGCTTCTTCGAAGTTGCTTATAGCAGTTCTGTTTATATCCCTCTGGCCAGAACTCAGATGGTACTTATCTTTAAAGGAGCTGAGAAAGTTGAGGGATCTTCTGTAAGTAGTAAAAATCTCTGCCAGAAATACTGTTTTGTGAAATTTTTGTTTCAGTTTTACATAAACATGTATATATATGTATACTCACTGACAAAGCAAAATATATTATTACAGTGGGTCCCAATTGTAAAAAGTTTGAAAACACTGTGGTAGGTGAGGCAATATGATATAGTACAAGAGCACAGAAAGAAAATAGGCATGATTATTTGTCTTCAGGTGTGTCTTTGTCCATTTTCTGCTAGTATAACAGAATATCACAGACTGGATAATTTATTATGAACCATTCCATTTGGCTCACAGTTCTGGAGACTGGGAAGTCCAAGAGCATGGCACCAGCATCTGGTGAGGATCATCCATGGTGGAAGGCAAGAGAGGGCATGAGACAGAGAGAAATGGCGCTAAACTTACCCTTTTTATCAGGAACCCACTCCCAACATTGCAGCATTAATCCATTCGTGAGGACGGAAACCTCATTACTTAATCACCTCTTAAAAGCCGCATGTCTCAACACTGTTGCATTAGGGAACAGTTCTTCTGGAACATACTGTACTGGTTGACAGGATGGGCACTGGAGGTAAATGGTCTGAGTGGGATCTCTGTTCTGCCACTCTTTGGCATCGTGACCT